AATTGTAAGTAGAATTTTCTTTTCTTTCAAATAAACATGTTTTATCTTACCATGAAGTAGAGGACTCATATATATATATAAATATACTCTATACAATAAGCATTTCTGTAACTCACCTGAAACAAAAAAAGAAGAAACACAATCGTTAGAAAGTCACACAATAATAGAAAAGTTAATTACACACTTAAATTAAAAGCTGTGATTTTTATATCATGTTTTTTTTTTAATCAAACTTTTTATTACATTATAAATTTTTTTTTTATTTATTTCATTCTAATAATCAGTTACTTTGACAAAATTTATCAAATAAATATTTATTCGAATCAAATAAACTATATATTTAACTTCTGAATTTTAAACAAATAAAATTTATACTTGAGTCAAATAAAAAATTATTTGGTTCATGTAAATATTTATTTGATATATAATAGTCAAGTAATCGATTATTTGTATCAAATAATTTTTTTTCAGTATATTTAAAAATATATTAATTGTAAAATAATAATAATAATAATATAAAATTATTATTATTATATTCTATTATAATATTAATTTTTTGTATTATAATGACAATGATCGCGAAACTTGAATGAATCGTGTCATGACTGACCATTATAATATTCCGTTTTGTTCTATGAATGAATCGGTTCGTTGAAAGGCCTTGAATAAATAATAGGCGTTTACGTTATATAGAATGCATATATAATATATCTGCTACTTGCGCGCAACACTGATTTTCTCTGATTATTTCACGATAATCATTATTATCTATATCAGGTGTATTATATATATATATTACAAAAAGAAATTGCCGCCGCTGTTTCAAGACTCTGAATATAGCCGCAAGTCCCCATGGATTGCCACTGGGTTCGAGGCTATGTTCGACAGACATAACCTCACATTTAGGTCAAATTTTGGCGGGAAATAACAAATAAATGAACATAACCTCAAAGTTTATGTGAATTTCGACTCTGAAATAGAGCCGCAAATCCCCATGGATTGCCGCTAGGTTCGTGGCTATGTCCGACAGACATAACCTCAAATTTATGTCAAATCCCCCCTCCCAACCAAAAAACGAACGTTTATTTTTGGTTTGGAGGGGAGATTTGATCTAAATTTGAGGTTATGTCTGTCGGACATAGCCTCGAACCCAACGGAAATTTTGCGGATATAATCAGAGTCTTGAAACGGCGATATCTTTTTGTAATCTAGGTATAGATATATACATATATTATATGAAACAAAAAGTTCTCTTATTATAATGATAATAATAATAATAATATATAGAGTAAATTAGAAAAAACACAACTATTACAAAATACAGAGTTCAGTCGTTCGTGAGAATAATAGACGAGGAAGAAAATTGGAAAGGATCAGCGCTCCTTCGCGTTTTACGAGTAGCGCGCAAGTAAATGATTGCGGAAACAGAGAATGAACGGTATTTACTCTGCACCTTTACACGTTTCGTTTGCCAAGATCAAGACATTGACCGACGCGACGTGACGAGAGACGCAAGACACGATACACACTTTTATACTACATATATATATATATTTAATGTTAGCGTGCAGACACATTTCTTTCGCCTTTATATATATATAATAATGTGCAAATTTCACACTGAAAAAAAAATTTATTTGATTCAAATAATCAACCTACTTGATTATTAACAAATAAATATATTTATTTGTATTAAATAATTATTTAAATAAATTAAATGATATTTTTTTCAAATATACAAAAATTATTGATTTAAATAGAATTTATTTAATTCAAATAAATATTTATTTGATAATAGTCAAATAACCATTTGTTTGAATCAAATAAATGTTTTTTTTTCAGTGTATTATTAATAGTCGGTGAACTTGACAACATTTATGATCAACGAAGAGAAAAATAAATATATATATGCGTTTCTCAATTGGAAAATAATAATTTATAATTATTGCGATATTAAAAATAAGGTTAATTTTATATATATATATATATATATATATATATATATATATATTTCCAAACATCGTAAAATAATATATAGTGTAATATAATAGACTTGCAAATAACAATAGAAACATTGTCATCAACAATTTTATTACTTCAAACATGACTTATAAAAAATTGTTATACCGTATCATTAAGCCCGCAGTTATTATCCATTTTTATTACACCAACTTCTGTTATATATTATATAAAATAAAATTTAAAAAAATATAACCCGTCAAGGAAATATATTTAATTTACTCTGAATATAACGCAGTGCAAAAAAAAATTCACAAACTAAAAATCAAATTGACCATTTCGATTTTTAAATATATAGAAAAAAAAATTAAAATCAAGAAAATCTAAATGGAGTAAATTCAAGACTTTATATATATATATATATATATATATATATATATATATATATAAAGTATAGTGTCGCCATTAAAATATCCTTTTTTGTAAGAGTAAATTGAACATTAGTTATATGTTTTTGATGTTTCAACTTTAAAGAGTTTTAAACTAAATAGAGAAAGTTCATTATATAGAAATATCACCTAGTGCCATGAATTTAATTCTTTTTTTATACCTTCGTAATTTAGTATAAATCTTTGCGTGTGACATTATATACGAGCTTGAACAAAACTTGTTTCGAGTTATCATACATATATATATATATATATAGAATTAAGATTCCACAGAATGTTAAAGAGAAACGGTACAATTTTTCCATTAGAATTTGTTTTTTTCCTAGAGATTAAAATTTTGCTTCCCGTATCATAATCATACAATATCATTATTACAATTAACTCTGAATTAACTCTATAAGTGTGTACTTTGAAACAAGTTTCGTCAAATTATTTTTAATGATATATATATAGAAGAAACATAAAAAAAGATATTAAAGTCTATATATATTATATCGAATTATAAATAGAATACATCCTGCATAAGATTATTTCTTAAAGTATCCATTTACATTGAAAAGAAAATTTATTTGATTCAAATAAATATTTGATAATAGTCAAGTAATCGATTATTACACGGAGAAAACGGGAAAAACGAATAAAGTAACTTTTACTATATTTTAAAAGTAAAACCGTAACTGTTGCGCAGTTTCTGGCAATTTTTACTTCAGAAATATAGTAAAATTTACTTCGAAAATAGTAGAAATTATTCTGGAAATGGTAAATTTTACTATTTCTGAAGTAAAAATTGACGGAAACTGAGCAACAGTTGCGGTTTTTCTTTTAAAGTATAGTAAAAGTTACTTTATTCGTTATTTTTGCATTTTTCTCCCTTTCTTGATCAGAGTAGAGGAAAACTACGGAAAATTTCTACTGAATACAGCCGGTTTATTAACTGTCGAGTCATAAATATAGGTACCGATACGGTCACCCATCCAAGTACTAACCCTGTTTAGATATGCTTAACCTCAACGACCGCAAGCAAAGGCAAATATAATATATACTATATATTAAATATACAATACATTCTAAATAGAAAAAATTTTAAATATGCTAAATCTTAAATAGAATAAATAAATATTTATTTAAATAAAAAATACTTTTCCTTTCATAAAAATAAAAATAAGATTAATTCAAATTGATAACGTGAATATTTGGATTTAACAGTGACTCAATGAAAAAAAGAACCAAATCTCATTATCGGCAGAATCTATAATATTATACCATCATCGTTTTTTTTTCAATTCTTTCCCATACACACGAATCACTTTCGTATAGGTAACAATACACGTTCGATAGGCGCGTGATCCCTTTTTTTTACTGAATGACAATATGATCAAGTTTATTTACATGTAGATATAAACATATAAATTTATATATAGATGTAGGTACATTGATAATGTATATATCCCTTAATGCATTAGGGACCGTATCAGATCGATAAGACATCGGATGAAGCTAATAAGTTCAGGATTATAAATGAGAAGGGTGCCAAGCACTGCCAGCCATCATAGCCTTTGGAATGCATTGTTAGCCCACTATTGGGATAATTATTATTATGATGCATAGCAAATTCTGGAGCGATTAACCGACATTAAAGTTCAGTGACCGAGAATGTCATCAAAAAAAGGAAAAATTCTATATTCAGAAAAAATTTTTTTTTTGAAACAATCAAATTTTCGATTTTAATCAAAAACTTTTTTTTTGGCTCAATCAAATATATTATATATATATGTTTTAAGAAACTTTTTTACTTGTTCCAAATAATCTTTGGTTGGCACAAACAATTTATAATTATGGTACAACCACACTGTAAAAAAGAAGGTACTAAAGCAGTACCGATTTTAGGTATCAAAATAGAACCAAATAACAATTTAGTACCTAAAGTCGGTATTAAATTAATACCTTTCTTTTTACAGTACAAACAAACAAGATTTAAAGTACTTTTTTTGTCTTAACCAAAGTTTAATTGTGCCAACTATAAATTTTAATTGTAACAATTAAAATTTTGTTGGTTATAAAAAGAAAAATTTAAAATACTGCACTTTCTATTTCAAAACTGAGATATTAGAAGAAAAGAAAATTATACTATTGTCAATCTTAATACTTATCAAATTGGTAATAAAAGTATACAGATGGGATTTATCGGATGATAATAAATTATGCTATATAGAGAGAAAGAGCGAACTCTTCTCATTACACTCGATATAAAGTGATTTATGAGACAATAGGAAATCAGTCATCTTGTTCAGCAGCGGATAATTATCAATTATCGTTTCTCCATTCATGGATTTGAAGTATATATATAAATTAGTGACTCACTTTTTGCTTTTGAATTAGTTAAATTTCACTAATTCAAAAGCAAAAAGTGAGTCACTAATTTCAATTAGTTAAAATCTTTACTAATTCAAATTTAGAGTGTACCCTAACCCGAATTATGGTTAAATTAACCGAAATTCTAGTTAATTTAACTAAAATCTGTATCACCGAATTCTGCATATTAATGAAAATTTCTGACAAATTATCAACTAGAAAATGAATTTCTTTTCTTGCCTTTTCTTGCCATATCCGACATTATCAAGTTCGACGTGCCTATAAGCTGCATAGGTAGCCATGTCCTTAAAGATGATTTTTGTTTTTTTAAACGAAGAAAAAAAAATCACTTCACTTTTTTTTTTGGTGCCTGTGACAAGAGACGACCTTGCGATCTCTCAAATCTGCAGACCTACCTCAACGGCGCACTGTCAAAACGCTGTTATCACTTTTTCAAGGAGAGCGCAGCCTCCTCTAGAGAGAGAGAAAATCAGCTGATCCGGCGAGTGCTCAGCTGATTGTTATCAAAACAGAATAAGAGAGACAATCGCTAGGTCGTATTGCACTGACAGAAAACCTTTTTTTTAATAAATAAAAAAATTAATGAAGCACAACACTAATTAGAAAGGATTTTATATAATGGAGAAGAATCAGCTGTTATCACGTTCAAACGAAGAACTGACAAGCTCAGAGAAGTGAATCCCGTTTATAATAGGCAGTCGATTCGTCTGCTGTTTTGCCTCCCCCACTCCCTGTGTCCTCCATCCCCACTATCCCCTTTTTTGAGAGTTCCCTTTCCGCGATCAGTGTGTGCGCCAGTCGGACACGCCACTTGCTCTACTGGTAGTAGATCTCCACCACCATCACAGAAACTAAAAGAATAATTCTTTGGATCTTTTTTTTTTTTTTTATATTCTACCGCCAAATGGTGGCTAGGTATGCTTGCTAGATAGCAACCCTATATACACCGCGGCTACTTTTCTCTGAGGTCGACACCGGACCGCGACGTCGCGTCTTCGTGCCATTCACCTCAATCGATACGCTCGGCAAAGCAGCGGCGCACACCAACCATTGCCAAGAATACCCGAACACATATATACACCATCCACTAAGCCTAATCCAAAAACTTGTTCCTCTTCCTCTTTAAAAGTCCTCCTAACTTCCCGAATAGTGAACCAAACTGATATCACCAACTTCTGCTGTTTAAAGTAAGAACCCAGTAAGTCGCTTTTCCATAAGTTTGAAAATCTAGAGGTCTGACCAAACGATTTTCACCCTTACGAAAAAGCGACTTAACTAGCTTTTTACTTTGGACAGCAGAAGTTGGTGATATCAATTTGATACCGAGTAATTCCACTGAATTTACCATAGTTATGGTAGAATTTTCTAGTTTTTTTTTTTTTTTTTTTGACAGTGGAATTACTCGAAATTTTAAGAAGGAAAAGTTTGTATATATGAAAAGCTGCATTGCGAAACCGAAAAAAGGTGGTGGTGGTGGTGGTTTGACCTTCAACGAAAGAGAAACACTTGGACCGGAAAATAATACTACATCTTTATCGGTCCATGACAATTTCATCAATACAAAGTTTTATATTCTCAATGCCAATTCAACATCACCTGCTCTTTATAATATTTTAATCGAACATTTATTTCTCAAGGATATCTGTTCGGAAAAAATTTCAGTTTAAATAAATTATGGTAACAAAATCATGCAACTCAATTGTTGAGACAACAAAAGAATTTACAGCAACCAATTGAATCTATATCAACAATCCGATAGTATAAATTAAATTTTTTGGTTCAGTTTGTCCAAAATTAGTGTTCTAATCTGAATTCGTCATATCGAAATGTCAATTGTTTGAATATTTTTCCGTTGTAGGACACCAAAAAGCGGTATACAGAAGAATAATAATGAATTCTTATACCAAACCTGATGGAATTAACACAAATTTGGTCGCTATACAACAAATCTGTATATACAAATTCTTTAGCAATACTAAAGGTATAACAATACAAATTTGTAAGAAGAAATAAAATTTAGTTGGAACTAAAAATTTGTTATAGCAACAAATATCGTAAATGTTAGTGCAACAATAAAGATTTTTTTGTAACGACCAAACAAAATTTATTAGTTCCATATTAGGTTTGGTAAGTACAATATACATTTCTCTTCATACACTGAGAAAAATATATGCTATTGAATCAACAGCATTTCTGCCAAAGGTAATAAAAATTATTAATTCAAAAGCATATGCTATAAAATTTGTAAAAAGATTTTATAGATTCTATAGCATATGCTTTTGAATCAATAAATTTTATATACCTTTGGCAGAAATGCTATTGATTCAATAGGATATTTTTCTCAGTGTATATATATTATCTTCTGTACCACTTTTTGGTGTCCTACAACGGAAAAATATTCAAACAATTGTCATTCTGATATGACGAATTCGGACTAGAATCTACTGAACGGAATCATTAATTTTGAACTGACTGAACTAAAAGGTCATCAGATTGTTGATATATATATATATTCAATTGGTTGCTGTAACAAAATTGTTTTGTTGTCAAAGTAAATTCTAAACTGTCAGGAATTTAACCCCCAGAAATAGTAAAACAAATACTTGAGAGAATACGGAAAAAAATTTCTTCTGTTATCTATAAACTGCAATTATTGTACTCTCTACAAAACAGCTGATTTTGGGAAATACACAAATCGAACTTGTTAACAAAATAAAATTTTTTTGTGAAAAAAAAAACAAATTGTTTTTTGATTTGTCCATTCTAGAATTGTAATAGATTAATTGGTTGCTACAATAAATTTTTTTTCCATGTAAAAATTTAAATTCAATAAAGAAGCATATACATGTGTCTAATTGTAGTTTAAAAAATATTTCACTTTATGAAAGAAAGTTTATTCACACTTTTTCAAATCACACAAAAACTATAACGAAATCTATAAATATATTATGAGTTTCTAACTGTTCTTTATGCCTCTTTTGAAAAGCGTCATAAATTATTAGCTTCAAACAATAATTATATGAATCATATATATAAATCCTACAAGGAATGGATAATTGGATATTGATATATTGTTTTAAAGCCTATAATGTTATAATTATATAAATAAATAAAATAAATTTTATTTTTTTATTTATTATATATATATATATATATATATATATATAAATTAAAATGATTGGAAACTGTACCTTTGTTTGCATTGATTTTTCCTAAAAATAAATTCTAGTTGCAATAAAATAAATATATATTTATAGTTATATTGATATATTTGTCAAATTTTAATTATATATAATGAAAGCGTCTTCGATTTAATGTAATATATATATATGAGCTCTGAAACATAAAATGAATTTATGAGTTCTGAAATTATCGTCACGAAAAAAGATTTCCGTCCTTTTCATCACCAAAAAAACGATATTCACCCTAATGGCATGTTCTATTTTTATGACGCTTATCTAAAAAAGAAACGAAACTATTTTTATATATACTATATATATATTCAAATTCATTCTAAAGCAACCATTTCAATTATCATAAAAATTATATATTAATACAACTTATAATTATCTCTCTAATTTCATTCTAAGTCAATTATTATATATATATATTGTTGCTTCATGAATTTTTTATTAATCACATATTAATTAAAATAATAATTGAAATGAAATTAAATATTCTGCTTCATTCAAATTATATTATACATATCTTAATTTTCTTTTAATTGGATGTCTAGTTTTTAAAATTACAGATTTTTCTCATATTGTTTGGTACACTTTCTAAAAAATTTTTCAACCTATATATACCTATATATATATATTTTTTTTTGTAAAAGATAAAAGAATATTTCTAATGTTTAGTGAAAGTGTGACTAATTGTCACTTTTTCATTAATTATGTTATTATATATATATGATTTTTTTGTATTAGTATGTAAGGTTTTTTTTTAAAAAAAAGGGTAAAAAAATACTGTGAAAAAGGTTGTGTATTGAACGTTATATTTTCTTATCTCATTATAAAAATTATTATCATTATTCAAGTTAAAGGATAAAAAAAATTATGTTTTTAATTTAAATTGAGTTTAATTATTGCATTTTATAAAATTAGAAATTAAAAATTTTTTAATAAAAAATTTTAATTTCATAACATTAAATTATTGAATTTAAAAGAAAAGAGCCATGAAAATTTAAATCAGTAGAATTTTTTTTTTTTGATACTGCAGTTTTAACATAAATAGATATTAACCGTCATGCATTATCATCTTTATATTTTCCATTGTTCAAGATAAATATCAAACACCTTTTTGCGGCAGAATAAATTAAATGAAAGTGAACGTTCTTTCGGCAATTTTTCTATAAGATAAAATAATTTAGAGATCAAGCATTAAGAGTAACGGTAAAAATAGTGATCCCCAGCAGTCAAGTGAAAGTCATTGCCATAGGAAAATGTCTCGGAAAGTTTTGTGTTATATCAGATAAAGTGAATAAATTTGATTCTTTCAAATTTCTAATAGGTCAGTTTAAGACATGATTTTTTTTTTGTTTTGTCATCTTGTAATTAAATATGTAATAACGAGTGTATTAATTTTTAAAATTTTATAATCAAAATTGATAATTTACTGATTAAATGAAGTGTTCTAAAAAAAGCTCCATTTAATTTTTTTTTTAAAGTAAGCCGAAATATATAAAAATTTATTGTAGACTCTTGTTATATTATTTTCTTGGGATGAACTTTAGAAAATTCGTTGTAAATCATTTTCTAAGAGAGCATACATATATACGCCCCTTAATTATATTATTTATGACTCTCAATATAGGAAAAAGCATATATAGAGAACATAAACGAAAGTCAAAACCGTTCGACTATAATAAAAGTGCAATTAAAGGGAATTCATGTAAACAATTTTTTTTTAAATTAAAAAAATATATCCAAATTTTTTGAAAATATTTTCCTTTTTAAAAAATTATGATAATTTTATTATAATAAAATTGAAGTATATTGAGAATTAGTAAAAAAAAATAAAAATTTAGATAAAGAATTCTAATTACTGTCTTATAAGTTTGACTATAAAAATGCAATCGATTTTCGTGACCTACCGGAATACATAGAAGGATAATAAATATGATCCATTATAAGAATAGTGACATATCCGGGTGGTACAGAAGCGCAATCAATATAGATAGGGTGCATGTCTATATATCAAAATCTTCCTGACATATATATTTTATTTGATCGAAATTAAAGTATAGATGATCTTATATATACTCATTTAAAATTTTTATCTTTATGCAAATTAAAATTTTTTTTTTTAATTTTAAATTAATTTCGGTTCAACGTATGTCAAATGTAGGTTTAAAGTAGGTTGAATATTGGTACAAATTAAGTTCAATGTAGGTCTAAGTAAGGACAATGTAGGTTCAAAATAGGTTCAATGTAGGTCTACGTAAATTAAACTTAGGTCTAAGTAAGTTTAAAGTAGACCTACTTAGTCCTAAATTGAACTTAGAACTACATTGGACCTAAATTGAACTTCCTATGTACCTATATTCGACCTACTTTGAACCTACATTGAACTTATTTTGTACCTATATATTTAACCTACCTTGAACCTACATTTAAATTACTTGGACCTAAATTGGACATACTTTGAACCTACAATGACCTTACTCAGACCTACATTGAACTTAGACCTAAATTGTATCTACATTCGACGT